ACTCTTTACAAGTTTTACAATAAAAATCAGTTCATATACCCCAAATATGCTAAAGAATCATCAATAAATCAGTTGATATTTTACATAATTAACTGGAGAACATCCGAGGCCTTTAAAATTTAAATGTCCCCAGCTCCCTCGTTGGCCCCCTGAAAAAAGTCCTGGGTATCACAGACTTGAATGAGCTATATTGTATAACTACAGATGAAACTCAAATAATTAGAATATCGTGCAAAAGTTCATTTATTTCACTAATGCAACTTAAAAGGTGAAACTAATATACGAGATAGACTCATTACATGCAAAGCAAGATAGTTCAAGCCGTGATTTGTCATAATGATTTGATTTGTCAATATGTCAGAATTTTGAAATATCTTATTAGCACTCAAAAATAATATTGATTTTTGAGATATTAACTCAGAATTCTAAGATAACTCAGAGCTCGCCTAGAGTGCTTGGTTATATTATCGCAGAATTCTAATCTATCAAATCAGATAATAGATCGTAATTCTGAAGCATTAGCTTAGATTGTTCTGAGATATTATCTCTGATTTCTGAAATAAAATATAAAAATTGCAGGAACGCCGTTCCATTGCTGGTGCCTGAGCACAGTCAGAGTGTACGAGGTGTGATCAAAAAATACGGGGAATGTTTAACTAAAAGAAATTTAATTACAGTAAAAGACACATTGCCATTAATCCCCCTCGCTTCGAACACACTTATCCCATCGTTCTTGCCACTTTCTGAAGCAGTTCTGGAAGTCCTCTTTCGTGAGTGCCTTTAATTGCGCTGTCGTGGCTGCCTTGATGTCCTGAATCGATTCAAAACGTTTTCCTTTCATGATCACACAAAACAAATACACCGCTTACATCCACCTCCACAATCCAAGGATCTCATCTGCTTTTGTCGGGTGCTGGCTCCAAAAGTGTAAAGTGCCGCACCCCCTTTTTACACTTGAAAGTCCATGTATCCCATCGCACTCCTGACCGGAAAATGCCCAATGTAACAGGGCGGGTGCAGCAGCGACAACGGATGCATCCGTCAAAACGTACAAAAAACAATAGTCATCGGCACACGAAATAATCAAGTCAATACGTTTTATTGACCCAAGTGAGCACACCTTTAGCCAGGCTAGAGGTGTTCTCACTTGGGTCAATAAACGTATTGACTTGATTATTTCGAGTGCCGGTGACTATCACTTTTTACACTTGGGTTTACCTTTCATGGTCATTTTGACTTTGGCAAAGAGCCAGAAGTCGCATGGTGCTAGATCCAGTGAATAAGGTGGATGAGGATACACTGTGATGTTATTTGATAGAAATTGCTGCATCAGAAGTGATACGGATCAATCTTCGTCTTCAACCGATTCACAACCATTACGAAATCGTTCGAACCACTTATAAACCGTCTTCTTGGTCACTGCTGCATCACCATAAACTAATTTTAACAGTTTGTGTGTTTCTTTAGCACTATTTTGCAGTTTGAAACACAATGTCATGCGTTGTTCATGACCCATGATTTACGGCACAATTGAAACTTATCACACACTGTTACTAAGGTTCAACGCGCTGCTTCTCGTATTGAAGATCGCTGCCTTTCCATTGGATGACACCCGGCAGCAGCATCACCGTATTTTTTTTTTATCACACCTCGTACATTCATGTCTAAATGCCCTCGGAGATCTAGGAGTACCTTTAATTATTTGATTTTAGAACAACTGGTGTGGTCAAACGTTTACGTTTCCTTCTAATCTACTAATATCAATAATGTGACTGATGCAACATTTGCAATACAGATTTAAATTAGAAATAAGGTTTGTGTGAATAATCTGCACCAAAATCACCCATGTAGCCTAAGCGAGAATTTTAAAACATGAGCACAAAAGGAGTCAAATAATCTAAGGCTAAGGTCTAAAATGCAGCTACGTTGTTGTGTTCCATTTATAAGAGAGATCACTTAAAAAAATGTTTTGCATTTTATAACACAGAGAAAAAGTGAACGACACCCAATGGAAATGGAACTTTTTCAACATTCGAACAGGCAAACATTAGAACTTCATTTGAACAGGGCCTACAAATAAAGGTGATATACTTGAATTAAATTACAAGGAAATATCAATATATGTAATGGTGTGTTGTGGAAAAGCTAATTACATATTTGACAGAAAGGACTTCTTGTAGGTGTTTTGCATAACTGCCTGCAAGTCTTTGACATCATGAAATTCTTGCTAACACTCCATACAAATGTTTGTGGGCTTTCTTTCATGAACTAGACACAACATTTCAATGGGATTCAAATCAGGGCTAGTTCATAACCCTCCATTTCTTCTTTTTTTAGCTTTCTAGTGGATTTGTTAGTGTGCTTCAGATCATAATTGTGTTGAAAGATCAATGTACAGTTCAGCTACAGACAGATGACTTCACATTCTCATCGAGCGCACTTTGAGATGATGCAGAATTCATAGGTTAGTCCACGACTGCAAGTTGCCCGGGCTCTGAAGCAGCAAAGCAACCCAAAACTTTAACATTTCCACCACCAAGCTTCCAAGTTGGTATTGGTTTTTGGGGTTTGTTTTGTAATCCTGTCTTTGGTTTACACCAAACATCTATACCGTTAGTGTATCCAAACAAAAACTTTATTTTTCTTACAAAGGATTTACTGATTTAAATAAATAAATCCCTTGCCAAACTCACAGGCATTTACAGCCTTCTTTCTAAGTGCCTTAGGGACCTCTTTTAATTGTAGCATGATGACATCACACAATAGCAGACCACAAGATCCTAGATATCTGAGGTGAAAATAAATTAAGTTCCAACTGCATACAAGGAGGCTCTAATCATTGGGATCTAATCTGGAACACTGGATTCTAAGTTCATGGACGTGAAGTGGATGTAAATGTAGGGGAGAAATTATTTTTTTCCATGTGACAAATCTGCATTTTCATTAGACTATGAGAACCAATACACTAGATCCATTTCATGTGTAATTTGTTCAAGTATATCATCTTTAACTGTAGGCACTGTTTGAAAGAAGATCTGATGTTGGCCTGTCCAAATATGCTGAAAAAAAAATTCCCCGGGGGGAGATGTTATTTGATAGAAATTGCTGCATCAGAAGTGATACGGATCAATCTTCGTCTTCAACCGATTCACAACCATTACGAAATCGTTCGAACCACTTATAAACCGTCTTCTTGGTCACTGCTGCATCACCATAAACTAATTTTAACAGTTTGTGTGTTTCTTTAGCACTATTTTGCAGTTTGAAACACAATGTCATGCGTTGTTCATGACCCATGATTTACGGCACAATTGAAACTTATCACACACTGTTACTAAGGTTCAACGCGCTGCTTCTCGTATTGAAGATCGCTGCCTTTCCATTGGATGACACCCGGCAGCAGCATCACCGTATTTTTTTTTTATCACACCTCGTACATTCATGTCTAAATGCCCTCGGAGATCTAGGAGTACCTTTAATTATTTGATTTTAGAACAACTGGTGTGGTCAAACGTTTACGTTTCCTTCTAATCTACTAATATCAATAATGTGACTGATGCAACATTTGCAATACAGATTTAAATTAGAAATAAGGTTTGTGTGAATAATCTGCACCAAAATCACCCATGTAGCCTAAGCGAGAATTTTAAAACATGAGCACAAAAGGAGTCAAATAATCTAAGGCTAAGGTCTAAAATGCAGCTACGTTGTTGTGTTCCATTTATAAGAGAGATCACTTAAAAAAATGTTTTGCATTTTATAACACAGAGAAAAAGTGAACGACACCCAATGGAAATGGAACTTTTTCAACATTCGAACAGGCAAACATTAGAACTTCATTTGAACAGGGCCTACAAATAAAGGTGATATACTTGAATTAAATTACAAGGAAATATCAATATATGTAATGGTGTGTTGTGGAAAAGCTAATTACATATTTGACAGAAAGGACTTCTTGTAGGTGTTTTGCATAACTGCCTGCAAGTCTTTGACATCATGAAATTCTTGCTAACACTCCATACAAATGTTTGTGGGCTTTCTTTCATGAACTAGACACAACATTTCAATGGGATTCAAATCAGGGCTAGTTCATAACCCTCCATTTCTTCTTTTTTTAGCTTTCTAGTGGATTTGTTAGTGTGCTTCAGATCATAATTGTGTTGAAAGATCAATGTACAGTTCAGCTACAGACAGATGACTTCACATTCTCATCGAGCGCACTTTGAGATGATGCAGAATTCATAGGTTAGTCCACGACTGCAAGTTGCCCGGGCTCTGAAGCAGCAAAGCAACCCAAAACTTTAACATTTCCACCACCAAGCTTCCAAGTTGGTATTGGTTTTTGGGGTTTGTTTTGTAATCCTGTCTTTGGTTTACACCAAACATCTATACCGTTAGTGTATCCAAACAAAAACTTTATTTTTCTTACAAAGGATTTACTGATTTAAATAAATAAATCCCTTGCCAAACTCACAGGCATTTACAGCCTTCTTTCTAAGTGCCTTAGGGACCTCTTTTAATTGTAGCATGATGACATCACACAATAGCAGACCACAAGATCCTAGATATCTGAGGTGAAAATAAATTAAGTTCCAACTGCATACAAGGAGGCTCTAATCATTGGGATCTAATCTGGAACACTGGATTCTAAGTTCATGGACGTGAAGTGGATGTAAATGTAGGGGAGAAATTATTTTTTTCCATGTGACAAATCTGCATTTTCATTAGACTATGAGAACCAATACACTAGATCCATTTCATGTGTAATTTGTTCAAGTATATCATCTTTAACTGTAGGCACTGTTTGAAAGAAGATCTGATGTTGGCCTGTCCAAATATGCTGAAAAAAAAATTCCCCGGGGGGAAAAAAAGGGGGGGGGGGGGGGGGCTACTTTTTTCATGACTGTGAATTAACATGCTTATTGAAAACAATTTGCAGCATTGCAATCTGCTTTATAAATGTTAATGTAATACAGATATGAGGTTAGCAGATTACTTACTGGTCATCTCCCACCTCCTTCAGCCATGCCATTTCCCTCTGGGTTTGTCCATTAGCCAGTTCCTAAAGTCACAGAAACACATGAATATGTTAGCAAACTAAATTGCTGTGAGAGGGCTCAAGGTTTTAACACAATGCAGAGCTATATATGCATTCCACAATGCAGTATAACACACAGCATAGAATTCGACCCTCTCCAATAAAAAATAATAATGTAGGAAAGTTGAAAAAAAACTTGTTACCTATAGCAACCATTCAAATGTGGCCATCATTTTCTATCAACAGCAGCAAGACGATAACTGGATTCTGGGTGCAAAGGCAGTACAGATAATGTCCTCCTCTATACATAATCATCTGTATGCTATATATAACCTTACAGTACACCATTCATTAGTACAATCCCTAATATGAAGCATCAGTCCTGTTCAAGGGACATATTTAACATGCAACATGACATAGAGAACAAATATTTATCTTTGAGGTAGGCATGAAGCATGAAACACCGAACAACCATATGTTTTCTTAGGTTAACAATGAATGATTTAACACCATGTAAAGGGAATAAAATGAACACAAATGTTATCAGATACAGGATTTTCCCACATAGTCCAAAAATAAATAAAATCACACAATGTACATGTTGTGTTAATATAAAAACACACTGAAGTAAATAAGTGTAATGAAGTGACAGCAGACACATGGTAATGGCATTGCATGCAACAAGATCATACAAGTAATCACAGACATAAAATGCTTATGCAACATACAGTACATATAAATCCACAAGTAGGTTATTTGTATGCTAAAGTGCACAAATGATAGCACCACATCAAAATTATAAAACATTTCCTGGAATTATAACCATTTCTGTTAGTCAATTCAAAGTGAACATTGAACTTAAAACTGTAATTGTTATGCTTCCTTTTGCTGTGTGCAATCTAAAGCAGCCCTTCCCAAGCTAAGCTCTCTCTCCCCATCACTGCCATGCAGACAGACCTACCCTTGTAGATGCTGGAGAACATTTTAATTAAATAAGTACAGATAATGTCCTCCTCTATACATAATCATCTGTATGCTATATATAACCTTACAGTACACCATTCATTAGTACAATCCCTAATATGAAGCATCAGTATCATGAATCTGAGCACTATTTTTTTAAAGTCCACAGAAGCAGCTGGAAGATGATGACCAGAAACAAAAAGAAAGGTGAACAAAATCTTCCTCCCATGTAGAGGAAACCTTTTCCTCATCTTATAAAAGAAACAACTATGACTACATTAAAGTTATCAAATATTACAACTATTGTAGTCCTGATATAAATAAACATAAAATCTGATTTCACTACTACAAGAAGTTACGACTCCCACAAAGTGGTCTCTATTCCTCCTATTCTTGCCTGCTTTACAACAGTAACCACTGATTGCAGAAGAGTAACAAGACAACCAGAAAAAGCACTATATTAATGGTGTATGTATCTAGTTACATATGCAGTCTGTGTATTGCTTAACTACACATGGCCTCCAGTGTTACATGCACAGTTGAATACTTTCCACCTTGAAAACTTTTAACGTTTCCACCTTGAAAACACGTAACTAGTTCCAGAAGGTAAAAGCATGTAAGTCAAGGAGAAGCCAGTAAATATATTGATAAAATGCTAATCTGTGCCTCTCAACCCTATCCAAGGAGTCTATACATATGCAGCCCACAAATATGTTTGTTTATCCAATCCCTTAGGAGATAAATGAAGCTATGAATTCCAAATCTGTTTAAATGAGGAAGAGGTAGCTTTTTATTTCCGTAAAAACTAAGTGTAACGATGTATTCCTAGTAGTAGTCGCTCTGTATTGTTGAAGATGTTTACAACTCATCCAAGTAGCTTCCTCAGCTCTAATGATTGTCAAGAACATACCCCAGCGTTTATAGCCACACGGTTTACTCAATCACCTTAATCCAATAGAATGTGCTGATTTTCCAAGAACAAGATGGAGGTCTCTGTGAAACCACCCCGTTCTAATTACATAATTTCATCACATTGTAGCCACAAAGTCTGAGACAGGTAATTCCACAAGTTACATAGCTGCTGGTGTTACCTCTGTTTAGGGATTGTTCTTCCAGTTGTATCACACACATGCCCTCTCCTGCACCCTGCTCACTGATGGTACATAGTGTAATCCTTTCCCAAAATAATGTGAAGAACTATGTGAGCCTAAGCAGGTAAGATACATTTGACTAGCATTTAACAAGGAAAAAAATCCCATACTTTTGTAAATTGTGGATATATCCTGAAGAAGCCAAACAGTATTTGTTTCTGTTTATATTTATTTAATTTTACATTGTTGGACTACTTTGGCACCAAGAGTTATCTCTTTACAGGTCCTCCTAACCTGCTCCCGGGCCTCTTGCAGTTGTTTCAGCTCTTCTTCCAAACGCAGGATATCCTCCTTCAGTTGTTTTTCTCTGCGCTGAGCATTCTGCAGATCTCTCCTCGCCTCTTCCAGTTCTGCATCCCGTCTCTGTGCTGCCATGTCACGGTGCAAGTCAAGACTGCGCGGAGCCTGCCAGTTCATAGAATGTTCTAGAACTGAGGGGATAAAACAATTCAAGTTTATATCAGGGGGAAAAAAACAAAAAAACAAAGTACATCCCTGCAATTCATTTCTCTATGTTTTAGCGCTTTAAATAACAATACAATAAATAAAATGCAATTACAGGAAAATACTTTATCTGGCAGAAATGCACTTAACTCCTTTTGTGGGTTCATAAGACATAGTTTTTTGTGGCTTGGAGTGGTGTCAGTACTGTCTTTTTTTTTTCTTGCCAAACTACTAATCTACTAGTAGAACCATCTACTATACAATATCTATAACATAAAGGCTAATTGTTCTATAGTCCCAGGATAAGGACTGGTAAGGGCTAATTACTCTCCGTAAGATAACACTGGATGTGAGCATGTGACATAGGACAGCTCTGATTTTCTCAAATGATGAACTAGTATTTTTTTGGCACTTATCACAGTTTAACACTTTTAAATGGTATGTTTAACAGACCAAAAAGGGAGAAAATAAGAGATCATTGCTAGGTTTTACATACACTTTAAGGGTCAATACAAGTTTTTTAGGGCTGGTAATGATTACAATTTTCGTGTTCGATTAAATCGATTAATCGATTAATTTCGATTAATTATAACGCACATGCAGATCCAACTACATTGGCCTATACAAATATAGCACAGCAATGAAGTAATAAAATGAACTAGGATCGCACTAATCCAGCACGTTATTAATCTCACGTGCCCCACTCAATATGGCCGCCGCTTGAGTTTGTCAACTCAGAATAATAACGTGCTGGATTAGTGTGATGCTAGTACATTTTATTACTTCATTGCTGTGCTGTATGTGTATAGGCCAATGCATTGGCTGGCGCTCGTGCAGAAAGTTTCTTGGGCAAACTCACCGGCCCAAGTGGCTCCGTCAGCTAACGAAGGGGGAGGAGTCCGGTGACGTCACAGACATCGACGTCACCAGACTTCTCCCCCCTTCCCTTCGTTAGCCGACGGAGCCACTTGGGGAAGGGGGGAGGAGTCCGGTGACGTCGATGTGGGATGTCACCGGATCGCCGCCGGGACTCCCGGAAGCCGGTGGAGAGGTGAGTGTTTTCATTAGCGATCAAAATAATTTAAAAATCGATCAAAAAGTTTACCGATTAAATCGAGAAATTAATCTTTAATTTCCACAGCCCTAAAGTTTTTATTTTGGTAATATACATCAGGTGACATTTATTCCAATTACAGATCATGAAGAGTATGAACTATCATGATATTATAAGATTGAGAGGAGGAATCAAAACATAGCAAGTAGGACTCCACTAACTTATCAATTAATCGATAATAATTGATAATGAGAATAGTTTCACTGATTCTCATTATAGATTAGTTGCTTGGATCCTCTAGTTCTCTCCTCCACGCTGGGAGCTGGTGTTTTATCGACACTGTGTCCCCTCAGATCCCTGCAGCGCCCAGGAGGGTAAATTTCTCTAACAGCAACACAAAGAAAAGTAAACAGAATTTTTGTCTTACCTGCAAAATCTGTTTCTTGGAGTATATCACAGGACATGGGTTATACAGCTACCTTCAGGTGGTCAAGGCTGTTAGGTCCTTCCTATAGAACCCCTCCCACTCCTAGCCTGCCTCGGTTTTGTGGTGAGCAGTACAAGAGTAGAATACAGATGCCAGAGGGAAGGGCCCGGTGTCCTGTGGTATAATCCAAGAAACTTATTTATTTTTTAACTTTTTCATTGCAAACCAAAGGAACTTTACCCATATCTTCAAAACAACAACAAAGGCACCTTTAGAAATGTTTATTAATGACAATCTACAAACACATATTTCTAGATTATTGCCGGCTTTTTATTTTTTGTTTTATTTTTCTTTTCTTCCCCAGTCTTCTGACAGTTGCCATTTTAACTAAGGGCAGGGTACTAGATCTCCCTTTACTTCTTGGAAGCACATATGACTAGGACATGTGACCATGTACATCATCTCAGGGGAGGAAAATTCCCTTTCCTGAGATCTCATGAGATTACAGATGAGATTTCCTGAGAATGCTCTGCTGATGTAACCTTCCCAAAGTTGCAATGTTTGGGCACGATTATATTATTTGTGCCAAAGTGGAAAAAAAAGAAATTTAAAGTCAAATAAAAACATGTTTTATTTAGCCAATGAATGTAAGATGATTCATATCAGCAAGCAGAGCTATATGCTGATGTGAATTTTAGTCAAAGGGGCTAAAGATCAATTTTAAGGTACAATTAAAGAACAAACACAAATCCGGAAAACAACTTCAAGTAATCACAATTGGTGAACGGCCAGCAGATAATTGGAGCACAGGAGCGTCAAACTTTACAAATGTTCATTGCACAAAGCGATGAGGAGGAGTTTCCCATGACAGAAAACTGGAAAAAAAAGGAGAGAGAAATGAGTAAAGGCAAGCGGGTGAAAGAGAAAGGAAAGAAAGATCAGAGGGGGTAAGAAAGGTAGTGATATTAGGAAAGGGCCGGAACCAAGAAATGGATTTAACAGGCTTGACAAAAATACTGTTTTCCTGATCATACATCACAGGGCACAGAGAGTTAATACTTAAATAGGTGGGACATCCAAAAGCCATCCAACAAAGAGGCGGGCAACCAAGCAAACAACAACTAACAGGCCCGAGAAGACAACAGCTAACACCAAGAGTGGGTCCACAATTCAGAGGGCCGTCTGATGAACCATGCAGTTAAACCTAGCATCTGCATAGGCCTGAACATTCACTTGGAAAAACTTAGCAAAAGTATGAACCAAGGACCACGTGGCATTCTTGTAGATTTGGGAAACTGGAGCCTGATGCTGGAAGACCCAAGAAGTATTAAAGGAGAACTAAGGGGTTAGGGCTTTTCCCATGGTTCTCCGAAGGTAACGGGAGGACACAAACTAGCGTCCTCCCGTTACCCAAAGCTCAGTATACCGCGAGCTGCAGCTCGCGGTATACTGAGACGCCGCAGCTGAAACGGATCCCAACAATTATGTCTGGATCCATCCAGCTGCGTCAGTGACAGCTGGCTCTGCCTATCTAGAGGCAGAGCCAGCTGTTCCCACCCCCTCCCCCGTCCATTCCGCCAGTCAGCGCTGGAGGATCGGACAGGGGAGGGGAGAATCCAGTCACTTCCCTGTCACGGCTCTCTGCAGTGACAGGATCGAGAAGTGAGCGAACACCGGTATGCGTTCGCTCACTTGCCGATCTACTGAGCCGACCTGTGACAGTTTCATTGTCACGGGTCGGCTCAGATTATGAGGCTGAGTGAAAAGCACTCACCTCATAATTCTCCTTTAATGTTACTAGTAGAATGAGTCCCAACCAGAAGGAGGGAACTTTACCGTTCAACTCATAGGCCTTTGTAATAGGTCGCAGAATCCACTTAGCAGTAGTGGAAGAAGAAGCTAGCTGCCCCATATGAGGACCCTCAGGAATGATGAAGAGGGAATAATGAAGATTTGCAGATGGAAACTGTAGACGAGACCACGTCCAAACAGTAGAGAGAAATGTATTTGGGATGCATTGCTGCAGGACATTAGGATGGTAAAACAAAATCCAGCTTAAGGTGCAAGGCAGACACCATCTTATCCTTGTGGATAACCAAAAAAGGCTCTTGACAAGTCAAGCCCACTAACTCAGAAACACACCTAGCAGAAGTGATGGTGACAAGGTAACCTTGCGAATGTGTAGGGATAGCTCAGAAGTTCACAGGGTGGCTTCTACAACATGGAAAAAACTAAGATGAGGTCTCATGGAGTCACCAATGTACAGGGGAGACAATACGAGCAACCCCCTACACAAACGCCTTTACTAGATAGTGAGAGGCAAGTGGCCTCTGCAATAGAAATGCCAAGGCAGAAATTTGGCCCATAATAGTACTCATGGCTAAATGATGTAGACCAGGCTGAAGAAAAGTTATGATTCGTTCCACCGAGTATTTCCTAGGATGAAAGTTTCTTGCTTTGCAAGTGAAATAAACCTTTCAAATGCAGAGATCTGGATTCCCTTAGCAATGTGCAGTGTCGCAGTAGGATCAGCCTGTGTAGCCAGCTGAGCAAGAACCAGAAGAGAATAATGGCGGGTGACTGCACAGTAGGATCCCCCAGAGGCAGGCTGTGCAAGTGCCGTGTGGTTTCCCAGGCCACGAGGTAGATATTTAATGCTAAGTGATCAATTCAAGATATACCAGTCACAACGCGGTCCAGTTCTGGTCACCAGTACTAAGAAAAGATGTCCTTGAGTTGGAAAAAGTCCAGCGGAGGGCAACCAAACTAATTAGGGGTATGGAGGACCAGAGCTACGAGACAAGGCTACTAAATTTAAACATGTTCACATTGGAGGTGAGGAGATTAAGGGGGGATATGATCTCCATGTACAAAATGTTCAATGGTGGTAGCAACATTAGCGATAAACTGTTTAAAATTAACTCCGTTACAAAAACTAGAGGCCACCACCTAAAATTGGTGGAAAAAAAATTCCAGCACAAGGGGCGAAGGGGGTTCTTCACAGTAAGATCAGTGAGGGTCTGGAACTCACTGCCACAGACAGTGATTTCAGCAAAGAATGTGGAATTGTTCAAGAAACTTTTGGACGATTTCTTAAGGGACCGTAATATACAGGGGTACAGGTACTCCTAGAATGAGATCCTAATAGGTTGGACTTGATGGACTAATGTCTTTATTCAACCTCAAATACTATGTAACTATGTAACTGCTACATATTATGCTCCAAATATTCCTTTTGGCCTTATAATGAATAAATTAGATATTATAAGACTGTAAGAACTTCACCACAAGCTTTGCCTTTTTGCTGATTATGTCTTATTACACCTAAATCCTGTGTTCTCACCTTCTAACTTTTTGGTAACCTAGCCAGATTTGGAAGTAATATTGGGTTTCCAGGTCAATGTGGCAAAATTAAAAGTTTTAAAAAAACTCCAGGAATTTTTTTTATTGTTACCAACCCTAGCAGTGGGGCTACCCCCGCACTGCAAGGGTTAAGCCCCCTTTTG